TGACATTTGTATTGAAAATTCTAACCTTGGTGTTGGTTGACAATTGTTTTGAGCTCCAGATGTTTTTCAGCTGTAGGTATGCTGCTCTTGCTTTGCCGATCCTCGCCCTCACATCTGCATCTGATCCACCGTGTTCATCAATGATGCTGCCCAGATATGTGAAGATTTCCACATCATCCAAAGGTTCTCCGTCAAGTGTAATTGGATTGGTGCATATTGTATTGTATCGGAGAGTCTTGCTTTTCCCTTTGTTTATATTGAGACCTACTGCTGCTGAGGCTGCTGCTACACTGGTCGTTTTCTCCTGCATTTGTTGTTGCGTTTGTGATAGAAGAGCCAGATCATCCGCGAAGTCTAAATCGTCAAGCTGCATCCTGCCTGTCCACTGTATCCCGTGATTTCCTCCAGATGTTGACGTCTTCACTATCCAGTCGATCACCAGGAGAAAGAGAAAGGGTGAGAGTAGGCAACCTTGCCTAACACCGGTCTTTACCTCGAACGAGTCGGTGAGTTGTCCTCCGTGGACGATTTGGCAGTTTAGTCCATCATAGGAATTCCGTATGATATTTACTATCTTCTCAGGCACACCGTAGTGTCGAAGAAGCTTCCACAGTGTCGTCCTGTCCACGCTATCAAATGCCTTCTCGTAGTCGATGAAGTTGATGTACAGTGATGAATTCCATTCGATTGATTGTTCCACAATGATACGTAGAGTTGCGATTTGATCTGTGCACGATCTATCCTTACGAAATCCAGCTTGTTGATCTCGAAGTTGAGCGTCCACGGAATCCTTCATCCTGTTTAACAATACTCTGTTGAAGACTTTTCCTGGTATTGAGAGGAGAGTGATGCCCCTGTAGTTGTCGCACTTGCTGAGATCGCCTTTCTTTGGTATCTTGATGAGAAGTCCTTCTTTCCAGTCTGTTGGTACATGTTCTTCGTCCCAAATCTTACCGAAGAGGATGTGGAGTATCTTTGCAGTTGTGGTTACATCTGCTTCCAGTGCCTCTGCTGGAGTGTTGTCTGGTCCCGCTGCCTTGCCGCTCTTGATTTGTTTGATTGCCATGCTGATCTCTTCAATTGTTGGTGGGCCAACATCGATTGTGAGGTCTGTGGGTGCTGCTTCGATGTTGGGTGGGTTCAGTGGAGCTGGTCGATTCAAGAGTTCCTTGAAGTGTTCTACCCACCTGTTTCGTTGTTCTTCAATATCGTTGATTACTTTGCCTTCCTTGTTTTTCACTGGTCTTTCTGGTTGACGGTAATTTCTAGCAAGTTTCTTTGTTGTATCATACAGTTGTCTCATGTTTCCCTCTCTTGCAGCCTTTTCCGCTGTCATTGCTAAATCTTCCACATATTTACGTTTGTTGACTCTGATGCTCCTCTTCACTTGCTTGTTTGCCTCTGTGTATTCGGCTTGTGCCTTGGCTTTTTCTGCTCTTGTTCGGCTGATATTGATTGCTACCTTCTTGTTCCTCCTTGCTTCAATTTTATCCAGTGTACCAACAGTGATCCATTCCTTGTGATGGTGCTTCTTTTGGCCCAGAACCTCCTGACATGTTGAAACGATTGCCTCCTTGATACCTTTCCAGCTGCTCTCTATGGTGGTTCCCTCTTCATTGAGTAGGTTATGAAAGGCCTGGAACCTGTTGCTGAGGGCTATGTTAAATTCGTTGAGTTTGTCAGCATCTCGAAGAAAGGCCGTATTAAACTTTTGTGATGTTGTGCGCCCGTTTTCCAGTGCTTCTAAAATTTATTTTCATCTTGGTGACCAGCAAATGATGATCTGATGCTATATCTGCTTTTCTTCTGGTTCTCACATCCTCCATCGTCCTCCTGAACTTTTTGTTGATGCAGACATGGTCGATTTGATTCTGTGTAGTGTGATCCGGTGAAATCCAAGTGGCTTTGTGTATGTTTTTGTGTGGGAATATGGTGCCACCTATGACCAGTTTATTGAAGGCACATAGGTTTGCAAATCTCTCACCGTTTTCGTTCCTTTCTCCCAGTCCATGTTGTCCCATGACGTCTTCGTATCCAGTGTTGTCCTTTCCAACCTTGGCATTGAAATCTCCCATTAGAATGGTCAGGTCCTTGGTTGGGCACTTCTCAAAGATTGACTGCAGCCTATCGTAGAATTGGTTTTTAGCGTCTTCATCGTAGTCGTTGGTAGGCGCATAGCATTGGATGATGTTCATTGTAATGCCCTCTTTCTTTATTTTGAAGGAGGCTTTGACGATCCTTGGTCCATAGGATTCCCATCCTATAAGTGCATTTTGTGCTTTTCTAGACAGCATCAGTGCCACTCCTTGTGTATGTGGGGCATTTTCTTCTTCATGACCGGAGTATAACAGAAGTTCTCCTGAAGACAGTCGTTGTTGTCCAACCTGCGTCCAATGTGTTTCACTGATTCCAAGCACTTCCAGGTTGTATTTCCTCATTTCCGCAGAAATTTGGAAGACTCTGCCGGTCTCCCACATTGTCCGGACATTCCATGTACGTATAAAAATTGTCGCTCTGGTTGTAAGAAGGTGCATCGGCCTCATGACTTCCGAATGAACTCGGCTTTCATCATGAGACGTCATAATTATTCCTTCTACTCCCAGGGCAGAGTTTGAAAGGTTTGAATGATTTTTTCTGGTTAGCGTTTTTTTAGCGAGTTGATTTTCTACGGGATGGGGTCGCTAACCCCATGCCCAACCCTCCTCCTTTACCCGGGCTTGGGACCGGCAGTAGCCCCTGGAGGAGCTACAGGCGGAGTTATGTCAATGTCTAACTTCAGCTAATCCAAGATATTGAATGACACATCCACCACTGTCTTGAGTGAGTTACTATCTCACAACAAACCCGGTTGAACTCCAGCTTCTTATACAAAGTATGGACTAAATGACTGATCGTTTTACAGTTCTCGTATTTTACCATGTTTCAATAGTCTCGTCTTAATCCGAAACTCTGTTGTGCTGTCTGGAAACTGTCATACTAGAATGCTCAAAATCATTTTGTGCACTGGTGAAAAAATATATCACGTCCTTTAATAAAGAATTAAGTGATGGGGGACATGAATATCACTAGGGAGGGAAGAATTTGTTCGGTAGCTTGTCAGTACATTCATATAGTAAATTCGGGTCTCCCTAACCAAGAAAATTTAACAGCAATGTATTTGTTTCCTCGATGCATCATGGACAGTGTACAGAGACTAAATTGATCCCTGGAATACACAGAATTTCTTAAAATCAAAGGTTAATGGAAGGATATAAGCACCAAACCAACTAATTACCAGGTCAATATTAACTTTTGCTGTAAGTCATCAATGACATGAACTTAGCATCAGGATGTAACTATATTTTCTTGGTGGAACATTGATGAAGAACTGGAATCGAAATGAACTTTAAAGTAGACTTTGCTTATACTGCAAGATAACGAATTTTGATGTGATAGATTTTTTAGTTATATGTCATATAGTAAAACAGGTAGCGGACAAAAAATTACAGTAATGTAGAGTCCACTAAATCAGGCATTTTTCGGTTTTAACTCGCTCTTCATGCTTTCAATAAGCTAATTATGTGTCGTCTTAAGCGGTTTTCAAAGAAATAAATCCTTTGGCGCTTCTTGAGAAATGTTGATTTATGACCAAAGTCATTCCCTTCACACCGAACGTTCCAGAATCTCAGTACTATGGGTCTAAGTTGTGGTTTTCACCTCGCAAGATAAGGTTCTGTAGTAGTCAAAGTAAATACTTGGTAGACAATCAGTCACTGACGAAGTGATTCTTTAATTCCCACAGTTCGCACTAATACATATCGTCACAACGTGTTCAACCGGAATCTTTTACATCAGGAACGAATTGTTAATATAACTGCTGTTTGGTATTGATACGATGCTCTGTACTTATCGATGAGATTGATGGGACGGACGGTAGAGAGGGCAGCTAGTTTGGATTACTTCACGGCTGCCAGTCACAACAAACAATTCTTGCTATCAGCGTTGTCACAGCTGAACTATAGAAAAATAGTACGCGTCACATTTAGATGTGGTAACGGATGTTTTTTGCGCAAAAAACTCCCACTAAATGCCAGGAAGGTCTTTTATGATATGGGACAATGAGTGAGCATACCTCAATATAAATTATGTTTGCTAGCTTGGAAACTCTATTGGTGACCAAGCTAGTCGACTTTCTCTTATTTAAAATGTGTCCCATTTCACTACACAATGCACGTGGTTTCCGCAATTCGCCCGCAGTTTCCTCAGTGATAGTTTGTTTTAGTGACATCCGTTAGCTTGCGTTCTGTTTACTGATTAGGCATAGAATGTAGCGGCGGGGTTTCCACTACTTTTTGGATCATATGTGTGTTCGTAAGCGTCATAATTTGTTCCAAACTCCGTTTTGGACACATTATGAGTTATAAACTTATTATACAATTTTACTATACAAACCTTTTTCTATGCCTAGTTACTATAACTCCATAGTCCGCAGTAAAACTACATTGATTTTGTTTCTTGGTAGCCCTACTGATGTAGTATTGCTAGACATTGGGCCTATGATCGCCGACGATGAACTCATTCAAGGTACTAGACAAGTAGACCTAGGATACTATAGTTGACTCGCCATAGTATGACTGACCAGAGTGAGTGGCCTCATATCCAAGTCAGGCCAACGTCTATACAAACTCACTCTATCGCACAAGTTAGGAGTGCAACACATCCAAACTTATCGATTCAATAAATCTGATACAAAGATGAGAGTTAGTGGCTAAGTCTGCTTGCTATACGTACCGGTAAAATTCGTCTTTTTCCCTCTCAGTCAAGAAAACAGAGGGAAGGAATATTTTGTTGAAGCTTGAAACAAAATGGTTAGATAAGTCAGGGAAGTGAGTGCTTAAATTGATTTTGAATTATAAACCTCTTATCTTTTCTTCAGATGTGTAGAAGTTATAAGATCCAAACCTAGTTTTCAAACTAGGTTTAGCTGCTGAATAACTGGGGAGTAAACATAGACACGCGCCACAATCGAAATCAGAACAGAGCGATTGGGGTAATAACGGTTATAAACAAATATTACCACACAGTTATTCAACCAACAATTGTTCTCAGAATAGTCAATCGAACACACCAAAAAGCAAGTGTTATTCTATCCTTTCTGGATAGATCAAATAAAAATTCCGTTTGAGAGGTTGCTCTATAACAAAGTGTTTCAAATTCTGGGAAAGTGCTCCGATTTACAACCAAAATGCACGATCCCAGTCAAATCAAACAGCACAATCAAAGAGCGAACACTCAATACGGCAGCCGCCGGAATGATAACAATCAAAACAAATTAGATACGCTTCAAGAAGAAATATAGAAACCCAATGAAAGCAACAGGAAAAGCTGAGAAAACTATTATGAAATGAAACACCACAATCAAAAAATGGCATCAAAAATACTAACAATCATGTACAGATAAAGAACATATTAAGAAGAAGCTATGAATGTATGCATGGAGGGATTTTCACATACGAAACGTTCAAAATGGATCTAACAGAGGTTAATTAGAGAGTTGCGAGATCATTTTTCTCTCAGGAAACTGAAAACTTTTTAATCGTCTGATCATAGCATTGATTACATCAAAATGAGGAGCATAAACTTGAATTGATCTTGCTAAAACAAACAGGTTTCGCCATTCAATGGGAGAAAACAGAATATAACGCCTGTAATATAATGAGTTGCAAGAAGATCCTACCACACTTTCTGATAATATTAGACTAGCTCGCAATTCTATGGGTTCTGTAATAGTCCACTTGAGACATGAAACAAGCAACACATGTACCATGAGTAAATATCTATTGAAAGTGTTTTCAGTGGTAAAAGATTCAAAAGCCACTGCCTCCTACCGTCTGAATCATATGCTAATCTCCAAGAAAAGCCCTTTTTGAATTGATCACGCATTAGTAACCTACGAGCTTGATTTTTAACTAGTCTAATAGTCAGAAATGTTAACGGTCTTATTCGATCCATTTGAATTGGGAAACTACAATATACCTCGTTTACTTTAAAACTTTTAGTACTGCATCTAACTAAGTTTAAAATATATATTCTGATGTTTTGACTTTCATATGTTTTTAAATTGTAGGAACGCTGTCCTTGTTTCGCCAATACTTCTGCATCAGATACTCATTCTTCATCGATGATGCTTCCCAGGTACGTGAAACTTTCCACCTCTTCCTGAATTCTCCCGAGTGAGATTGGTTTGGTATTCTCCGTGTTGTATTTGAAGATCTTGCTTTTTACTTCGTGTATGTTAAGGCCTAATGATGCAGAGGCTGCTGCTACACCAGTTGTCTTGACCTGTATTTGTTCGTGTGTGTATGGGGCAGAGGGGCCAAGCCACCTGTGAAGTCCAAACCGTCTAGTTGATTCCGAGTTTTTTATATCTGAAACGTTACGAATTCACTAGTTAGCGAACGGAACAAGACTTGTGACCAGAGACCGACAAGCTAGCTATTCTGACCTGACCCAGCTGATTAGAGTAAGAAGTGCAAGTTGGGAGCGGGGAAAATACATTCCTCAGCAGCCAGAAGCACAGCAATCATAAGGGCAAAAGGTCAAACGTATATATACAGCAACAAATTGTCCTTGGGCATCATTATAAAATAGAACATTCAAAGAAACAATGGACCAGTAGCGTTTAAGATAATTACAAGTGGGAAATATGACGCGAAGGTAAAAAGAGCGCTTTTGGGGCGAAAACAGCTAAATTCAAAATTAAGTTATTTGTCACGTAAGTTCTGGGGATTTGACATCCCCCAACAGAGCTGTTTATCGTATTCCGTGCCCCCCTGAGATGTCGAGGTTTCCATAATCCAGTCAACCATTAGAAGAAGGATAGAGTGAGAGTAAGCGTCCTTATTTGGCTCTCACTTGTAATGCATCTGTCAGATGCTCTCCACACACAACTTTGCATTGTAGTCCGTCGTATGAATTTCGTATGGTAACGACGATCTTCTCAGGCACACCATATTGTCGAACAAGGCTCCACAAGGTCCTCCCATCAACACCCTCTCATGGTCAAGGAGGTCGATGTATAGTGACGAGTTCCATTCAATAGATTGTTCAACGATGATTCGAAGTGTTTCCTATAAAATGGGGTTACCGACCCCACGCCTAACCCCCCTCCTTTACCCGGGTTTGGGATCGACAGTAACTCTAGGAGTTTGAGTAAGTACTGGGGGTTAGATTTTGCCAATACATGAACACAATTGACACCTTTTGGCAAACATTTTCATACTTCTTGATTCAAGTGTGACACCAGCATAAGAATCAAAATGAAAGCCACTCATTGTGTCGATCAGCGACTTGATAGTTGAGCCTGTGAATTAGGACACCTGTACAGAATTTTCTTGAATTGACAACCGTTGTCCCATCATTCCAGTGATTTTCAATTGTAGTGCATGAGATTCTTTTTGCTGATGCAAATATATATATCATCCTATTCATAGGACTTCTGATAAATTCTCCATATCCCAAATTATTGATCATGCCTATAAAAATGGTGTACACCCACAACGTTAGTAACAAACTATTATTCACTTAGAGTCACCTACACTAAGATTCACCCCAAAAGCTATTACGGAATTATACTATTGAGTAAGTCCATTGTTTCTACTAAAACTATTTTCGGGTAGGGACTAAGACCATATAGTTATGTAATGGATGATTATCTTTTTACTTACGAAACGATTACAACAATTTAAATTGGAATAATGTATGAAAATGGAGATTCAGAAGAACAGTATAACCTTCAACTTATCAATAACAAGAAGACTCCAAAGTAAAGTACCGTCCAATAGTTCAACTTCGTTTCAGAAAGAATAAAACAACTGGGAGGACAATAAGATGAGAGTAATGCATATAGAAGTATCTATACAAAGAGTGCATGTAACCGGAATTACTGTAATAGGTTTTGAAATCACGAGAATTCTAGGGACATTTGTTTAAAAGGTAAAAACGATAAGGGATTTACAAATCTATAGAATTTTTTTAATATGATTACCATCGAGAATACACTTAAGACACTTCATCTCTATGCAACTGTTTCAAACAATATGGTTAATATACATTTAGAACCCTATCAATAGATCAAATTGATGAAACTAATCGTTACTAGACTGCTGATCCATCATTATGTTCCTAATAAGTTTGAAGCTATCCATCCACTTATTGTTAGATACATAAACAGTAAGAACATGGTAAGAATCCATTGATAGAAAGGAAAATGACTGAAAGATAGATTTTGCGTTATATATTTATTCTTTGTAGTTAATATTTTTTGTGTTGAATGATGAACATGTTCTATATGTGATAAGATAAGAAATGTGCAACTCAACTGCTTTGAAGCGTTCTGAGAATATAAACGTTATACAATCAAACTGAAAGTTTACTGTTGACTTATAGAAGCGAATGCACAGCGCTTTAACCGGGTTGGTGGACACCGGAAAGTCAGCCTAGGAGAGTTGAAAAACCTGATTCCAAACCAATGATGCACATGGGCTCCAGTATCCTGAAGGAACAAATGGAGTATGAACCGATTGTTGGTCACCGGCTACCATGGGACTACATCACCTTAAGATGCTCCACTGCCTTGTGGACTAGACCTTCAGGTCAAAGGCTCGGAGTGGGGCTCCTAAGGAAACCATCTGCTTCAGTTTGGGTACCTGAGCAGTATCACAGCCCTAATGCAAACCTCATTTGATTTGTGGGGTGCATATGTATCTGGTACCCGTTTGTACCAATATTTATGCGTTTAAATAAAAATAGAAGGAATATATATATATCAGAAGGGGTTTTTGTGGAGATTTCAGTAATTTTATAGTTGGGATCATGAGTCAATTGAAGCTAAACTACTATGGAAAACCTGGACGGCCATTTCGTCCTATTATGGGACTCCTCACAAGTGCGCATCCACGATCTCGCCTTGCAAGATTCGAACCCAGGACCTATCAGTCTATTTCCTGGGGTTCTAGTGAGAAGCAGTAACCAGTAGAGTTGAATCAGGTCTGTTGTGAGATATCAACTCACTGAAGACAATTAGTGAACTGTTGCTTAACACCGTTGGATGCCGATTTAGTGGTCTAGTGGTTAAGCGCTCGTGCACGAGACTGATGGATCCTGAGTTCGAATCTCGCGAGGGATCGTGGATACGTACTACTGAAGAGTCCCATAATAAGAGTATTATACTTACATATAATGATTAATTAAATAAATATCATTTTGAAATAAACATATTTGTCAATTTTATCTTCTATAAACAAATTAAAACCAAAAAAAATTGTAGATTCATTTTAACAATTAAAAACAAAACAAAAACAAAAAAAAATACAAAAATGCAAATAAAATAAAAACAAGTAAAGCATATATAATATGATGTACTACTCAATTAGTCAGTCAGTCAGCTACAACGTAGTACCAGGCACATTTATGCATTGGTCCAAGTTGTACTACCCTTTACTATAAACGCAAATAGATCATGAATAAGTCAATTAGTAATAATAAAAAAGAAGAAAACAAACAAATAAGCAACCAACAGGATTACTATACTATTGGAAACTTTCATTGATGAATTGAGATGAGTTACCATTCATTCTAATCACGACATTTTCCATCTACATGTGTTGTTGTTGTCGTCGATGATGATGATGACATAATATTTGAACGTGTAGTACCGGAAGTTTCATTATTATTAGTTGTTGTTAATTTTGCAATACTATGATAAGCACTACGTATTAATGAATATGGAAAACAAGATTCTTGTAAACTAGCAGATAAACAAGGTGATTGTTTAATAAGATTATCAAATACAATATAAATTGAATCTCTATGTTTAACTGATAATGAATGACTAGAAGAAGATGTTTGAGCATTATTGTTATTACTATAAATTTCTGAAGAGATAAGTGAAGATGAAGTTTCTAGACCAAGTCTTAAAAGATTTGATGAAGCAAGAGCAAGAAATTCTTTAGAACGAGCTTCTAAATCACCTGGTCGAAGTAAAGAAAACATAGAAACCTGAAAAATAAATCGAAAGAACATTTAATGAAGTTAGTATCAAATAAGTATTTTTGAAGAGAACAATTAGGAAAACAATATGGTCCCACCTTGCTAGATTCGAACCCAGGAACTATCAGTCTCGCGTGCGAGCGCTTAATCACTAGACCACTTCTATGTTTAACTTCACCCCTAGTTGATTACATATATAGTTTTACTAAGATACTTGTGTGTTTCACATAAGTTTGGTCTATTTATTCATTAAAACTTAATAAATGAACTAGGAAAGTTGCTGACTTAAATGAAATCTTTTTAATTTAGATAATTCATTCATACTGATTAGCACATCATTGCAATTAAGTACTAAATTTAACTTCAGTAGTTGAGATCAAGAGTCAATTGAAGCTAGACCACCATGGAAAACCTGGAAGCACTGAACGATCGTTTCGTCCTATTATGGGACTCCTCAGCAGTGCGCATCGACGATCCCGCATCGCGAGACTGATAAGTCCTGGGTCCGAATCTCGCGAGGTGGGATCGTGGATACGCACTGCTGAGGAGTCCCATCAAAAACCCAAATAAATAATTTAATTCTAGTAGGAAGCTGTAAATCGTAGGAAAGAAGAGAACATTGTAACTTATTTACAAAGTACAAGTCTTATGCACACGTTTTTGCGCTAAACTGTTTGAAGGTGATGAAAAGGAGTCTCACATTTTGACCTACCGGTTGAAAGTCGAATGAATGACAGAACATACTGGACAGTTAGGTCAAATCATATTAATGAAGTTCAGACCATGATCTTGAAGATTATGCATTGTTGATGAGAACAAAGTGATATTGTTAAGAAACAAGTCAAGTGTGTGTAGTGTTACAGAGTGGTATAATTTTGACACTAGAAATGACCGATCATCAACTTGCTATGACTTATATTTGAAGTATATGTTTCTACAGAACACCGAGTAGTAACCAATTACTGTAAATATCTCAGTCCTCTTAAACTTTGATTAATGCTCGAATAGTTCAATGGGAACACCTCTGACTTTAACAATAGCTGATACGGACTCGAATCTTATGAGGAGTATTATTTACATGAAGATGGCAACTATGCAATGCTGGTAATTGTCAACTAAAAGAAAACCTAGTTTCACAACATCCTATTGGTTAGCTCCGAATATCTAATATTTCTGGAGAACGACAACTAAATAGTTTTGGAGTACTATTTGTAAGGATGGCTCGTTGGTAAACTCTAGGAAGCCTCAAGAAGGCCAGAAAGAGTCGAAGACATTCCATCCAATCATTGCTAGGGGAATATTCCAGAATGTCGACGTGTAGCTTCCCCATTGGATGGATATGAATGACCCCTGTGTGTCTATTGGTTATCCGAAACGATGATTTACTCTCAGCCAAAAAAACTATAAATACATGAGATTTCTATACTATATTTTGACACTCTTTTGGGGAATAAACTTCCTACTTACTAGTCTTCTATCTTCTCTCTTGCGACGTTGCGGGTTCTATGGTTCAAATAGTCTAGTAGTACACGGCATAGTAAGAATCTAATATTATCATTATTTAAACACATAAATATTGGCATAAGGAAGCACCACATACATATGCGCTGCACAATTCTTATTTGATTTGTGTGAGAGCTGTGATACTAACCAGGTGCCCAAACTGAAACAGGTGGTTTTCTTAGGAAGCCACACCCCGAGCCTTTGACCTAAAGGTCTAGTCCATAAGTCAGTGGAGCATCGTAAGGAGATGCAGTCCCATGGTAGCCGGTGATCAACGATTGATTCGTACACCATTTGTTCCCTCAGGATACTGGAGTCCATGTGCACCATTGGTTTGGAATCAGGATTTTCCAACTCCCCTAGGTGGACTCTCCGTGTCCACCAACCCGGTTAAAGCGCCTAACATTCGCTATTCGTCCTCTCAATTTCGTAAACAACAGTAATGCCACGAGAAGGTAGTGAGTAGGACTTCCCTGGTAGAGGCTATATATTTGCGTGGCCATGTGAGAGCATTTGGAGAGGGAGAGCGAACTCTCCCCACTCTCGGCCGTACCAGGGCATTTGGGGGCTAGTAAGAATCTAAAGCTTTAGATATAACACTATTCAAAAACAACAACAAAACATCATCAATCTAACTTACCATTAAAGTATTTATTGCATATGCAATACAATGACAATTATTTTCATTTGCTTCTAAATCTAAACGATATAAACTGGAGTCTTGACGTGCTAATCTTGGAAAAGCATTAGCAATAAATACAATAAATAAGCAAGCAATATGATATTCTAATTCTTGATAAGATATATTACTATTAGTACCATTTAGAGATAAATTTAAACCAGCTTGATTTGCAGTAGCTAATGTAGCTATACGTCGATTATTTAATATTGAACATAAATTATAATCTAAATCAGAGGATATACCAACAGAAGCACATAGATTATTTAATATTAATTGTTCATTAAAATGTGCATAAATACGTTCCATTCCATATTTTCCATTATTTTCTGTAGATGATGATCCAGTTAATAATTGGGTATCGCTGCTTGATTTTTGTATGATATAATCACGAAGGTTATGAACAGTGTCCAATAGAAATGGAGTACGTTTCTGAAAACAACACACACCAAATAGAAAATAATTAACAACTTACGATAAAACTTATTTACGGAGAACAGGTTTGTGAAATCGACATTGTTACATATACACTGGGTAGTGGTACTATACAAGTGTCCAAACCGAAGCAGATGGAACGGGATTCAAACCTACGAACATTTTAACCTTTATTATTTATTTAAACATATAAATATTGGTACAAGGAATCACCATATACATATGCGCCACACAAATCTTATTCGATTTGTGTGAGGGCTGTGACATTGCTCAGGTGCCCAAACTGAAGCAGGTGGTTTTCTTAGGGGGCCACACCCGAAGCCTTTGACCTAAAAGTCTGATCCACAAGGCAGTGGAGCATCGTGAGAAAATGCAGTCCCATGGTAGCTAGTGATCAACAATTGATTCATACGCCAATTGTTCCTTCAGGATACTGGATTCCATGTGCACCATTGGTTTGGAATCAGAGTTTTCCAATTCCCCGGACATTCGCTTTTCGTCCTCTCAATTTCGTAAACAACAGTAATACTACGAGAAGGCAGTGAGTAGGACTCCCCTGACAGAGGCTATATACGCGTGACCATGTGAGAGCAATTCGAGAGGGAAAGCGGAATCTCACCACTCTCGGCCATACCAAGACGTTTTAACTATTGGACCGCCGCTACAGTGTAGTTATATGTCAAGTGATGAGTCGGAAATGAAAATTTAAGTCACTAGCCGATCAATCATCCTACGCTTTGATCGAGAATGTATATCTAACTAATTAATTAGAGAATGATAATTTGTGAACTGTTTAATTTTAGAGCTCTGATTATTACCTGGAAATCAACTAATCAGTAAGAAAACGAAACAGTTCTCTATATCTAAGATATTGTTACTTGACATAGTGGCTATGAAATATATGAAGTTGTTAATATTTTAAAATCAGTACTTAGGACACGATTACGTCACCACTCATCTGACAACCTAGACATCTATGAATTGAAACCAGAACTGTGGGTACAAAAGAAGTACGCCTTATCTCTATTGTTACTTTGGCCTTAAACTCTTATTATCATTATTATTATTCCATTTCACATATGCAAACATCCCCGTCTCTAGTTACTTATATCTCATATCCTTATGATTTTGTTCATTATTGTTTCTGATATCACTTTATTTCATTTTTATTCGTTTATTACCATTGATTCTTGTAACAAAAACTTCCTTGGGACCACCGGGTAAGTAATGCAGTTGTTAGGAAACGGGTACTAGGTAAGGATGGCAAATCCATTGATGAGGTAGTGAAACTTCATCAGTTGAGATGGCTGGGACACGTGTGACGTATGCTCAACCACCGACTGCCCCGACGTGCAATGTGTTATGGTGTACGTTGGAAGAAAGCTAGGGGCGGCCAGACCTAAATGTGGTACAAATCCATGAAGTCACTGATAACTGGACTGAGCCATGTTGGTAAGTGTAGACTACCTGGTTGGGATCCACGAGATGATAGCAATCGATGGTTAGAGACCTTGAATGACATGGCTTAAAACCGTTTGCAATGGAGAAAGTGCATCCACTCTCTGTGTTCTCCCGAATTCTAATCTCCTGAATTTTTCATGCCTCTATTTTTTTCTCTTTCCAAATTTATTTTACTAGATTATACTCCTTGAATAACATCTTCAAACCCTAATCTTTCCTATTACTGCTTATACTCTTACTACTTCTACCACTATGGTATTTGAATCGACAACTGCATCTCTGTGTTAATGTGGTATGGCAACTCAAACTGATGTACGTACGTAAGCTGCAAAGAACAGCAATTACGTAGTACATAAATTTACAAAATATGTAAATCATATTTTGATGAATAGAGACTAGTAATGATATTTAAAAATACCCACATACACTTACCTGTAATACAGAATGAACAGCTTCAAAGCATAATTTACGAAAAGCAAGTGCTACACCAATTTCTTTTAACAAGATTAAAAGTTGATCACAATTTTGTAAATTCCCATTAAGTTGACGAGTTCTTACTGGATCATTTATACATTCCCGTAAACATTCAAGAGTACCACGATTTTGACGAACTAGTTTATTGATTTCATCAACACGATCACCAACAGAATGCATTAATCGATCACAAATAAACTTTATCCCTAATGGTCCTGTAGCAGTAATAATGCAAGAATATAATGATAGGTGAAAAGAAAGTTACACCAAAGCTTTAACAAAAAACCTTGATTTATCAATGCCAGGAATATTGAGAGTGATATTAGCTAGGCTAATACATATCGCCCATTCGGTTATAATGAACATAGAGTCTAGTACAAATATGAGTTAGCCTAGGTAACCATATCGATTCATGACAATCGGATGAAATTAAGAAGTTAAGTAGCGAATTGAAAATAATAGTAGTGTAGTGAACGAAGACTTGATAGGGGAGACCAATTTATTGTTTTATGCAAAGTCACACAGTGCCTCTGTAAAATATGATAATCATACATTAAACACATTATTTGCATATCTTCCTTCAGTAGTCCTTTACATACTTGATGATTCTTCCAATCACTCTGTTCTCCTTAATTCAATCTTATGCTGGCAGACATTCCACTTCCGACTGCTGCTATATATTACTTATATCTGTCAGCATAAGAAGTGCATATCACAGTAGTAACAGCAGCGGTGATGAGAAAGGCGTAATATCAAGAATATGGTTTGAAAAGAAGGAATCAAAAGAAGTGGGTGAAAGGATATTGAGACTCAAGATCTAGAGAAAGATAACGAGTAAATGCTTGTCACTGAAACAGATTTGTGAAATATCACTTAACATTTTCAACCATTAACTTCACCTATCGCATAACAATTAGCGGTAAACATTGGTCACTGATAAACAAATACATACCCGACTGTAGCTGCTACCTTGACGTGGTGGTCAAACTTGTCTATCCTGATGACTCAATAGTTATGTTGGCTGGAACACATGTCCTTTTAGGTCCTGCCATGCCAAGCAGGTCGATTGGAGAACGGTAAAACTAAAAGCAGCAACTTAAGGTCCAAGGGCGAAGTCGTACTGTTGACTATAGAGAGGTGTTTCTCTCAGACAACCAGCATTTTCAGTGATGCTGCCTTATCACAATGGAAGGAAGGAGTAAGAAAAGGCCGACCCTAAAATATCACACCTCACCTTACCCCACGGATTTCCATTTCCGGCAGTAAAGCCTTATGAAGTTCCGAGCTAACTCATCAAATACTTTCCATAAAAACGCCGTGCGTGACCGGTCTCAAGCAACTGTCCCTTGGGCCCTGCAGTCACTCTCCTAGATCGTTGAAATCCCCGCTAATTTAACTTCTTTTTCAGGTCCCTTAAGAAGAAGTATCCTTTCACGGTGTGGGCAACAGGGAAGTGACAACCACTCTCATACTTCTATCCGCACCCGGGATCATCTTGTTGACGAACACATACCTCCCTCATCTCGTAATAATTCTTCTATCCCCACAACTAATCCTTCTCATAAGTTTTTGTTAACACGTGCCACCGATGTTAATGATTGAGTTCACGAAATGTTATTCGTGGCCTCTTAAAACCACGCTCTATACTACAAGTTGGAGCTTTTAATGTTCGAACCTAATGTCAAATAAGAAAACGGGCTTATTTAGCTAGGACTCTAGAATCTCGCGCCATCGATGCATGCTGCGTCTTCAAAACGCGCATGCAGGATCCAAGTACAGTCGTTCGTCTGACCTTTCCTCGTAAAATCGATACGATACGAGCCCCCAAATGCCCTGGTACGGCCGAGAGTGGGGAGAGTCCACTTTCCCTCTCCAAATGCTCTCACATGGCCAGCGAATATATAGCCTCTGCCAGGGAAGTCCTACAAACTGCCTTCTCCTGGCACCACTGTTGTTTACGAAATTGAGAGGACGAAAAGCGAATATCCGGTGCTGTAACCGGGTTGGTGGACACGGAAAGTCCACCTTGGGGAGTTGGAAAACCCTGATTCCAAACCAATGGTGTACATGGGCTCCAGTATCCTGAGGGAACAAATGATGTATGAATCAATTGTTGATCACCGGATACCATGGGACTGCATTTTCTCATGATGCTCCACTGCCTTGTGGATCAGATCTTTCGGTCAAAGGCTCCGAGTGTGGGCCCCTAAGAAAACCACTTGCTTCAGTTCGGGCACCTGGGCAGTATCACAGCCCTCAAGCAAATCGAATGAGAATTGTGCGGCGCATATGTATGTGGTGCTTCCTTGTACTAATATTTATGTGTTTAAATAAATAAATAAATACGAGTATCTGGAGACCCCATTGGTATTTCCCACAGACTAGCTGGTGTAGGTGTACCATTAAGTTCGGGGCAAAACAGGCTCTCATAAACTGGATTCCAATAAACAGTTGCTTGTACGATGTTCGACTAAACGGGACCTAATTATTCTACTTTATGGGTATAGAACATTGTCATTAAGAATAGAGGATATTTTCAGATTAGTAGCATTCGATCATAGGTGTCTTATGTATTTCGGGACCATGGAGTAAATAATGTCTGGGTTAGGAATAAGGTAGTAGGTGAAGATGGGGAAACGATCAATGAAGTAGTAAATCTTCATCAACTAAGATGGTTGGAACATGTAATACGTACGACAAAACACTGTTCACCTTGACAGGTGATACTGTCTGGTGTACAAATGTACATTATAATGAGAAATTCATTGAAAAGTGATCACTTCAGTGAATTTCGTATTCTCCCCAGTAATTTCTTTGAAAAACAAAACAGTAAAACGAATGAAATCATACAATTTCCTTACTTACTCGCTTACTTACCGATAAGTTCTGTTAAAGCTATTAATTCATTTAAATCAGCATAATCTTCTGCTCGAAATTTTACAATATCTGGTGAAACTAAAGTAACAAAACTTTTCAATAAAGGTGAATAAACAAAATGATCTAGATAAGCATGTTTAATAACATTTTCTAAATACCATTCAGCATAATGCGCTGTCATTGTTAATTGTCCCTAAAGTAAAACAAAAAAAAGAGAAGTATATATATATATATATATATATATATATATATCAGACACATATATCTATTGACGAATCATACTCTTATTCAAATGATCACTAAAATCAAACGATTTGAGTCATTTTCTTTCAAAATCCCCAAAATAACTGTTTAAATGTTTAAATTTATTCAGTATTGTTTGTTTGAATCTTCCCATCGATTTGTTAGGACTGCAACTGGTCAGTCTCTCCACTGCTAGCCACTATCCATCTCTGCTTACCATGTTTAAATGTTTACCTTAGCGAATGTCGGGATACATAACCATGAACAATGATTGAGTATGACTCAGCATTGCGCATACTAGGTTAAGATATAAGGTGATAGTTGGCACGAAATCATCAATGGTAACGCTTGTGATTGTGAAACTGGGTGACACGGGATTAAATCCCCTATTAAGATTACAGGTACACCTTGTTGACAAGTGCCGAAGAGCACAGAACCTACGTCCAGGGATTCCCGCCGACTACATCTAACCACCACCTTACAGTTTTACTCCCATTTCAAATTCATCATCAATATTTTGGGAATAACTCTGAAGAAATACTTCATAATCTTAAATATGAGAACGATATTATCTTAATAAGTGCTGAGTTAGGCATTTAAATTACCCTTTAGCAGTCAGAAATCAATATCTACAAGTATAGTATGAACCTTGAATTATCGAATTTTAAAGCATTTATATAAGACTAGTAAACATTATTTTCTGTACGTACTCTCAGAAATGTGTATTTAGCAACAACATTGTAATGTTGAAGTCCGGTAAAGTATAGAGGTCCGCCTTTGAGAGCGGAAACGTTTTACACATTCTGTTTTAGAAGCTTTTATACTAATGACAATTTGTGGGGAATAGGATTTACTAGAATAGAGGTCAGACCAGTTATTTTATAAAGAGTTATCGTATTAACACTAGGTAGTTCATTATGATATACTGGACTAAATCTTAAACATCATACAAACAAGTAGCTAGAGATGTATTCAAAAAACAATTCATAACAGAGTCCTGTCGTAGTTACATATTTCATTTTTCATAAACAGCAAGCTGCACAAGTGGGTTTGGATTTTGTTTTTATTGAACTGTATACTTTAATACTTTTTATTTAATATATTTTTTATTAATATGTTGGGGGGGGGGGTTGAAGGTAGTGGAATTTACAGCTTAAGTCACGAACTGACATTAGTTAAACGACCATTAAAAACCAGGAGTCGTTGGAAAGCTGTTTTGTCCTAGTCTGAGAATCCAGAAAAGTGAGTACTCATGAACCCACTCAGGAATGAGCCTAGGACCTTCGGCCACGCGCGTGAGTGCCGAATTTTGAATGGCGACTCAGTGGTTTAGAAGTTAAGCGTTAGAATCTGAAACTGAAGTTCTTAGGTTCGGTCTCCGATGGTGGGGACGTGGATGCTCACTGTTGAGTCCCACAACAAGAGGGAAGAGCTATTCAGTATTTCTGGATTGTTACTACCAGTGAAATTCGTAACTTCTAAAGAAACCGAAACATCCAGTTAAGGTGAAAATAAGTCAACAGTTCAGAGTAGCAACAACGGGGAAACATAGACCCTTACCACTACTAATATTAAATTATCTGTGTGATATGAAGTGACATATTTTGTGTATGATATTTTCTCTAGTGTCCTACTATATCGTCCACTTATTGTGTAACAGATAAAATATAAAAATGACATCTAATAATTATCCATGCAATTAAAGAAAATAAATGAGAAATATAACGATGAACATAACAAATAATAATATCCTTTTTGAATATTATACACATATCATTAGTATGTTTGAACAATGATAAGTGGATACTTACACGGAATGCATCTACCGGTTGAGTATGTTGAGTGAATACAGTAGAAAATAATCCAATCACATCAATACAAACATGATTTTCCAAATCTATAAGAGCATTCATTAAAGCTCGTACACGTCGAAGTAATTCGGATGGTTTAGAAGCAAGTGATTCAGTTGTATTGTCATGAGAGCTATGATGAAAATTTTTTTTTAATAATAATAATAATAATAATTAGATTTTCAATCTATTTCTAATTGAAACGACATTGAATAATGGATAAAGTAGGGTTATGATTGACGAAAAAGTTCTATCTACGATCTCATAATCAATATTTACCATCTAAACACAGTTAGTGTTTTTTTTCGTATTAAATTTAGAACTTGCAATTGTTACGTGACTGGCATTTATAAACATTGATTAGCGATTAATTATTATAGTGTATTTCTAATTAGATTGATGTGTATGAAAAACACCGAGAGCACGCATTCATTGAACGGAAGAAATGTACACAAATATATACGTAGAGGGGGTGTTGTTTACGAAATTGAGAGGACGAAAAGTGAATGTCCAGTGCTTTAACCTGGTTGGTGGACACGGAAAGTCCACCTTGGGGAGTTGGAAAACCCTGATTCCAAACCAATGGTGTACATGGAATCCAGTATCCTGAGGGAACAAATGGTGTACGAATCAATTGTTGATCACCGGCTACCATGGGACTACATCTCCTCACGATGCTCCACTGCCTTGTGGATCAGACCTTTAGGTCAAAGGCTCGGGGTGTGGCCCCCTAAGAAAACCACTTGCTTTAGTTCGGGCACCTGAGCAGTATCACAGCTCTCACACAAATCGAATAAGATTTGTGTGGCGCATATGTATATGGTGCTTCCTTGTGCCAATATTTATGTGTCTAAATAAAAAAATATATGTTTTTAGGAGTAACTCTATGGTGGTTTGACTTTTCAAGGATTGTCTTCATTTCTTGATGACTTGAAATATGCGTTTGTTAACTTGACGTATTTGTAATGTAGTGAAAATATTTGCCTAATTATTAAAAGAGAAGTGTATTGAACAATAGCCTACACCCCGGAAAAAACCGTGATAAACCTGGAAGTAAAATGAGTTCACTTTATCCCTTTAAATGACTTTATAGGTATATATGTTTTAGGCCCAGGACAGAGTGGGTTGGAGAATGCTGGTCGGCGGCCTATGCTCCATTGGGAGTAACAGGCGTAAGTAAGTAAGGGATATATGTTTAGCGCATCTACCAGGGAAGTCCTAACCATGTGGTAAGTGTACATGATATTCAAATTCTTTACGTAACAAATGATATTAGTTTACTTAAAACTCATGACGAGTAGTACATTTAGGAACTAAAATAAATAAGGTCAATAGAGATAAAATGAGAATATGGGTTAATAGGGAGACAGAGAGGATATCACGAAATCAGATAAATGAATAAAATGAGTGAATGACAATAGTATACAATGGTAGAGACAGTGGGATTTTAAAAAAAACAACAACAATAAGGGATCTTTTCAGTCAAAAGAATTCCTCACACTTTTGCGAAGAATGTGAAAAAAAGCCACTTCATCATTGCCACTAGCTTTTATTGTGAGTCATGTCTGACAACTTCCCAAGTTGTTGGGTTGCACTATCTTGTACACCGACCAGGGAGTCATGATAGCATGACAGATGTCAGTCATATAGTTTCTATACCCCGTTGCTATCACTAATTGAATACCTATCAGCTTTTTCTGCCCTATCCGAGCGTCGTCAAATAATGAATGATGTGAACGCCGCCAGGACAACATCCGCAACACATGTCCAAGCCACCGGAGTCCATGTTACAAGATGGCCATACAAATTCAGTTATGGTTACTGTGCCTAGACATATAGTCAGACTACAGCATCAATAACATGGTGTTGCCACTGAATATTAACAATCCTCCGGAGACAACGATAACTAAACACAGAAAGTGCCCAAAACTCCTCAGCATGGAGAAATCAGGCTTCATGAGCGTGGGACAAAACTGTTCTCACCGACACACCGTAACCTAGACCTTTTACACCCAGACTGACATCACGTCACGATGGCTCAGATCGACGTGAACTACTTTGGTTTTCATTGTATGTAGATTGGTCTCGTCTGTTACACTACGACCACCACCACTCACACAAACTACCAAAATACCCGAACTTTTAGACTACTTCTGACGGCTTACCCTCAAGAATGGGTATGGACGTAGGCTCCTGCCAGTCTCGTCAAAGCACTTTGCATTTGGAATATGCGAAGTACATGCAATGCCTACCGACATTGATTGTCAACCCATTGCATACTATTTGCATAACTTGAGTGTCATCATACAGTAAGACAATATCTGCTTACTCAAGATCAAAAGGTCTTTTCGGATGACAAGTCTATGCAGTAACTACCTCTCGTCAGAGCTGTTCTCAAAATGTCAATGAAGGCGAAGTTGAAGAGTAATGGTAAGATTGTCCAACGTTACCAAACCCCATTGCTCAGTCAAATACAACGTAGAGCCTGGTAGATGTGTATATCTTTAAAAGTTGTCATGACCATTAACAAACCAAGACAAAATTGTGAAGGGAAATCCCCAAGTAGTAATGGTAGTAACAGTATTAACGGTAGTAAGTATTAAGGATACATTTCGGGGAGAAAATATGGATTGCTGAAGTAAAAAAGGATCAACGTAACAAAGAAAACTTACGCGAAATTCGAATAACTAGCAAGCAAATCAATAATTCTGAATTGTATTTCATTTTGAAGTATTTCACGTGGATTGATAACTTGATCAAAAACCAATAACTCCCGATGATGGTTAACAGAATAACATAGTTGACTTAATCCAAATAATGTTTTATCATTTATAGTTTGTTCTTCTCGATTAGTTCTAAAGCTTTCCATACCCGGAACAAAACGTGAATCAAAAGACATATTGTTTGATGAAGTAAATTTGTTATTAGTAATCATGTTAATAGGCCCATTCAACCGTTTGCCTTTTCTTGAATCTATTCCGCCTGCGTTTATAATTCCATTTACATTCTGTCGAGTATTAATAATTGGTTTTTTGCTTTTTTTTGCAGGTTTCTCATCCGTAAGCCATGGTACGGAATTTTGTGGTGCTAATTGATCAGCCATATTTCCAAATTCATCAATACGATTAAATAAATAAAGACATATATTATCCGCGATTTCTTGACAAAAGTGACGACATAAATTAGCTGCGTTACGACCAATATGTGAACGTTCTTCTGGGCATAGATCATGACATGCTTGTATAGCCTGAGAACAAATGCTTGGGAATACAATCGTAAATCTTAACTGTGCAGGACATATACGACAGTTGGAAAATAGTTCAGTGAATTTAGAAGGATAAAATATAAAAATCGACATGTCCGAAACTAATCGAAGCAGTTCATCCAAATAATCAACCAGCTTAGTATGCAGTATTGTAGAATTTATATGCTCAACAAGTCGCCGGTAATCACCCAAACTAGCAGCAGAAGCTTCACATGACAAACAAGCTTGTAAACGCAACCAATCTAGTCGAATCCCAGAAAAGTCGAATAATGTTGATTGAATAGGACTCAAATTTGTTTCACGCACAACAGGATTATCAGCAAGTTCACATAATTGTTTTGCGATAGAGTTGAAGATAACAGACTCTTCATTATTTACATGTGGCAAAATATCTTGCACATATTCATTTAATCCAGGTCCATCGTAACAACCCAATAACTGGAGATAAAAACGTTGAATAACAGGACTGTAACGCATAACTAGGGAACGAAGCTCATCCATTCTAAAAAGCAATTCCGGTAAGAATGGATCATTAAGTTCATCACTTGAAAATGGTCCTGTACGTGAAGCTACAGTGGAACTTTTCTTTACTATTGGGTTGGCAGAATGTCTTAAAAGCCAGTGAACTTCATCTGAGGCATATGATAGGCCCCAGAACACCAAAAAGGCCTTGGGACCCAACAATCCAGGTTCATCAGACAAAATAAGATGAAGTTGACGCAAAGATAGGCGTAAATAAGCCCGCCTGTCAGCATGCATTTTGGGAGTTTGTGAACATGCAATTGAAAATGTCTCTTTGATTTCATTTATACGTTTAGCACCTACCTTATTAACCCATGAAGACTCGAGAAATGATTGTAAAAGAGAATGAATATAAATTACTTCTTCTCTGAAGAGCACAACAACATACGAATGACGTAGGGCTACTTTCAGTCGATTGAACGAGTCTTCATCAGTCATTTCAGGGTATATCAATAAATAACCAAAAACTACCCATCTTTCCATCACCTCATAAGGTATTAATTCACAACCTAATTGTTCTCCAAGGACAGTGTGTGTTACTTTGCTTGGCTCGTGTAAAATATCTAAAAAATGTCCATCACTCCAATTTTGAGCTCTAACTGTTCGTCGGTTGTAGAAATCATTTAAAGAACGAAGAGCTCTTGATAATGTACGAGAATAGGGATTTATCTCTTTGTGTAAACGATTAAGCATGCCCTCAGAGGTTTCGGTAAATATTTCTGCCATACGCGGATAATTAGGTTCTTGTTTTCCATGTAGTTGATCGTACAGAAAATTGAAAAGAATCAAAATAGCCTTAGTGTCTGAAATACGTGTTATGAGAAACATCATTGCGAAATAATTGCTAACGAGTTCCAAGTAAATCCGTGTAACGTCAAAGTTAACAGTAATGTCAGGGGTTATCTTTGAAGATGCCAAACATCCTATGAGATCAATGAAATGATCTCTTACATCAAGAACGTCGACAAAGTTAAAGTAGTAAGTAGATAACATTGCAAACAACTCCTTTTGGTGATTAAAAAATGGCTGCATACTGGATGGATTTGACCTGACATCAACTGAAGGGAACTTTTTTAACAAAACTTTCCAAGCCCCATCGAATGCTTTGTCACCACCAGGAAGTACAGTTGGGCGGTATTCAGGTATGGTGAGCATTTGCTTCATATGGTGGATACGAGTCAGCACACCAAGCTGTCGATCATTCAAAATAAACAAACGCTCAGCTAACTTTTGATGTATTAGGGACATTTTATGACATATAATCTAAAAGAATGAAAAATTCGATATTCATTAAAAAGCTCCCTGCTTGATACATATAAGTATGATAATAAAAGGTGCACTTATGAGAAGTGAGAAATCCTTGGAGATGTCGATATAAAATAGAAAAACGTTAAAAAATTACAAGTAGAGGATATTGAGTTAATAACTGGCATTCAGAGAAAAATGATTACAGAACTATCGAAACTAGTTTCCCTTGAGTATTATTTGAGCTAAACATTCTAGTTGCAAGGACTTCACTACTTTTATGGACATTATTAGAGCCCACTTAGAGTGAACGTGAGATTTTCATCTATTCCATATATATGAAATGATCATTACTTGAAATACACATGAAGCAAACATTTGGTTTTGCGACCAGTAACAAGCTGAAGTTTTATTATATTCTTGTATTCCTACAAAAATCCCTTATAAACTACGACTGATTTCAGTCAAAAAAAAATTGCACGAAGTAAAGAAGCTAAATATAAATGATTCCGAAACAACTACTCGTAAACGCTATGTAATATGTTGATGTGCACAGCAAGATAGTATATACTGACAATAAGAAAACCCTACTTTTCAGCTGAAATACAGATTTTGTGAGTTTAGGTACTGGTTATACAATCGCGAAGAAATATAGTCCTGGAATACAAATAGGCTACTTCAGTTAAATCTACCCAACGCCGGCGGAGTAAATGCGATCCAATAGTTAAATGCATGGTCCTAGAGATTGTTTTATCTGGAAATTTATTTTCGCAAGGACTTTTCAGAGACGTTAACCATGATGATTTTTAAAATTATTAGTTTGCGAAGTGTCTCAACAAGAAAGGATATCATCGTCCATTCAGAATAAATCAAGAGACAGGATACATCATGTCATAGTAATGATAAATCGTAAAGTGCTTTTATTTTCCAATATTAACAGTTTTTTATACCATGCTCCCACAACGACCTACATCCACAACTTAACTCCTTACCTTGAAATTGTAATACCCGCAATTACAAATTTGGCATTCAATATCGCCAGCTTTAGTACAATGGAAGGCTTGAAAGCGTGTGCACCTTTTAGTGAAAAGGGTTTAAGAGTTTATTTTATTCCGCGAACAATTTTGAAAAGCATAAGCTGTAACTAATTGTTGAGGAAAATAGTTCTATACGTTGATGACTCATTATGAAAATCGGTGGTCAGTTGACAACTAGTTAGTTCTAGGTTTATGAACATTGTTGTGCATTTACGATAGTTGATTGATCTTCAAATAAATAAAAAATAACAGCATGCAGAGAGAAAGGTCGCTAATAAACTGTCTCGATATATTGATCAATTCAACATAAGTTCTATTCAACGCACAGTTCCTCGAATGTCTTCTGAAAACTCGCCGTTTTTTAGGGCGAATCTAGTATTTTTGTACAGCTTCTGAATACGGTCATTATTTTCTTGGTATCCGCATGAATGAGTGCTCTATGCAGTGCCCAACTAGTTCTCAGATATTTAGTAGCCGTTTCTCGGAAATGTTTTGTTGTTTTATTGTTTTAACTGGTAATGGCAAAAAGACAATTGCGTAGAAAGAGAGGCATAGACAGATCATTTTTTGTCGTCAGTAATTGTTCAACCAATTGTAATCTAAATGGGCTCAGTAGTGTCTCTCACTATTCACCCAAAGTACAATGATATATAATAATGTTTTACCATCTCAGTGACGCACTGGAATCTGTTAGAGTTGTTTGGAATTCGCTGCCGACTGAGCTAGTCCAAGCGACCTCTCAGGAGTCCTTTAAGAGGAAACTTGACTTATTCTTAAGGACTAAGGATAACATATTATTATGATTTACCAAATTCTTTTTTTCCTCTTTTATCGTTCATATACCTAGGTTCTTACCTGGAGGTATTGGTGATCCACTGCTACCAGACACGGAAGCCAGTTGAGCGAAAGCTTCTTCTATTCAGTCCTCAACCATTTGAACCATTTGAACTTAAGAAAAAACCCACATTGTGTAGTCTCAGGAATCCCACTGTTCACAATCCTTTCTAACTTTTTATTTTCGTATCCCTTTTTTGAAAGAATATTCGACACCCCCGTAGCTTAAACAGTATTAGCTATGCCATAAAAGGTTAGGTTATTTCCCTGCAAAACACCTAGAAATCCCTACAGTTCATGTCTCTAGGATCATTTTCTTAGAGAGGCCAATATATTGAAGATGTTGTGCTTACAATGGCTTAAATATCTGCTTTCATATGTTTGACTGAATTGAAGCAAGTAAAACGTCATTAAAGACAATTTTGAAATCGAAAAACAAACAAAATGTAAACGCTTAAAGTTAAAACCATCCTCCTCACGATTCGTTATTTTGAAGCAAATTTAGCATGAAATTGACGGCTAACTGCAATTGATTCATTTTTGCAGTTGTCTAAGGCAGGTCTGAAAACATTATCAATTTGTTTTTGTGCAGAATTTTTGAGGATTATGTTCTGCGAGCTACTCCCTATCTAAAAAGAACAGAAACATTTTTCCTTTCGGTTCCAACAATTCAGTTTTTCGCTTTTTCTGCTCATCAGTTTCTTTTGTCTCTGGGTATTGTTTGTGTCTATTTTCTTTCTGGAAACCTATGATTGTTGATTGGACAGTGTATAACATATGAAATGAATTTTGGATTACGGTTTATATTTATTATTAGTAGTACTAAATCCTATCACGGCTGAGCAATATGGAGGTCGAGAAAATCTTCTGGCAGCTACATGAACCGTATACTTAACAAAATAACTGAGACACTAGTTGGAATTAAGCCTACTCTTCTTTATACTTTTGTTTCTTCCGTTAGCCCACTATTGTAGATGCAATAGGAAACCAACTGAAACGTATAACATACCGACATTAACTGACTTTTCAACCTAAACCAAAGATAAAATGAATATCAACATTTCTACAATATTTATTGATTTTCTATTTATGAACACCAAATCATTGTAATACCCATAAGGTAAGCTGTCATCCGATGGTCATTGCTATGCATTATAATGTGACTTGTTAAAATATCTCTATACTAAATAATTCTTCAGTAGGATAATACCACATGGTTTAAGGCTTAAATAATATGTACATAGCGTTTCATTTTGAATGTGTTGAGAATTAAACCAAAAATTTTGAAATTACTACATGTATTTCTCAATCATTTGCTACCGCCTTTCTTCATTTATTTTTCAGTTTATCATTACCTGCAGGATTCTTACTATTCTTTAGATAAATTCAAGCGAGCGAATAACCCACTGGATTTGGTATCAAATCGGCGTCACGTTGATTCTAGCGGGAAATTAGTGTGGTGGTATTGAATCCTAACCACACGATCATTGAAGATGAGTGTATAATTACTAAAGCGATTTGCATTCAACATGTAACACTAATAGTAGGTCAACAATGCAGAATTCGGGAAGAATTAATCGAAATGGCAAGACTTAGTCATTCATGCGTGGTCATTATAACCTCGCTTTTTGTATCAAATATATTACTCTCTTCCCAACCCAAGTATATTCTTCAGAAATGATAGACGCCAAAATGCTGATTGTCACTACAGGACGAGACAGTGAAGACAGTGATGTGAATTTCACACAAGGTCTTATAGATTAGGTAGTCATATCATGACAAATCTACAATTTCTTGATAAGTTCTATTATTGTAATAGATCCAATACTAAAGTAAATCATAAATTTGCAGTACTACGAGGTTTGCACAAATCTGACAGTTATAGCTTTCAAATGGTTTGATGAAAATAGTTACTTACTTACTTACTTACGCCTGTTACCCCTCGTCGAGAAGCATAGGCCGCTCACCAGCATTCTCCATCCAACTCTGTCCTGAGCCTTCCTTTCCAGTTCTTTCCAGTTACTATTCATCCTTTTTATATCTGCTTCTACTTCCCGGCGTAGTGTGTTCTTTGGCCTTCCTCTTTTCCGCTTCCCTTCCGGATTCCAAGTTAGGGATTGAGTCGTGATGCTCATTGGTGATTTCCTTAATGTATGTCCGATCCACTTCCAACGTCATTTCCTTATTTCCTCTTCAGCTGGAAGCTGGTTTGTCCTCTCCCATAAAACGCTGTTGCTGATAGTATCCGGCCAATGGATGTTGAGTATTTTGCGTAGACAACTGTTTATAAATACTTGTACCCTCCTGATGATGGTCGTAGTAGTTCTCCACGTTTCAGCTCCTTATAGTAGGACTGTCTTGACGTTCGTATTAAAGATTCTGACCTTGAAATTAGTTGAGAGTTGTTTTGAGTTCCATATGTTCTTCAATTATAGAAATGCTGCCCTTGCTTTGCCAATCCTCGCCTTTACATCTGCATCCGATCCTCCTTGCTTATCAACGATGCTCCCCAGGTACTTGAATGTTTCCACCTCTTCCAGAGTTTAGCCATCAAGTGTGATTGGGTTGATGTTCTCCGTGTTGCATTTGAGAATCTTGCTTTTTCCTTTGTGAATGTGGAGGCCTATCGATGCGGAGGCTGCTGCTACATTTGCTGTCATCATCTGCATTTGGTCGTGTGTATTAGAGAGGAGGGCTAGGTCATCTGCGAAGTCCAAATCATCTAATTGATTCTGAGCTGTCCATTGTATTTCGTATTTCCTTTCAGATGTCGAATTCTTCATAATCCAGTCAATCACTAGAAGGAAGAGGAATGGGGAGAGTAGACAGTTGTCTGACTCCGGTCCTTACTGGAAATGCATCTGTCAGCTGTCCTCCATGCACGACTTTGCACTGTAATCCATCGTATGAGTTTTGAATAATGTTGACGATCTTTCGAGGAACTCCATAATGTCGAAGAATTTTCCATAATGTTCTCCCATCAACACTGTCAAACGCCTTCTCATAATGAATGAAGTTAACGTATAGTGATGAGTTCCACTCAACTGATTGTTCAACGATGATCCGTAGTGTCGCAATCTGGTCTGTGCACAACCGATCCTTACGGAATCCAGCCTGATGATCCCTTAGTTCGGCGTCTACTGCGTCTTTCATCCGATTCAGCAGCACTCTGTTGAAAACTTTTCCTGGTACTGATAACAAACTGATACCTCTGTAGTTCTCACATTTACTCAGATCTCCTTTCTTTGGTATCTTGATGAGATATCCTTCTTTCCAGTCCGTTGGCACTTGTTCCTCTTCCCAAATCTTTTTGAATAGAAGGTGAAGCATGTTTGCAGTTATTTCAATGTCTGACTTCAGTGCTTCAGCTGGTATATTGTCAGGTCCTGCCGCCTTCCCACTTTTGATTTGTCTGATGGCCATCTTGACTTCTTCGATCGTTGGTGGAGTGACATCTATTGGAAGGTCTGTGTGGGCTGCTTCGATGTTCGGTGGATTCAATGGGGCTGCTCTATTCAGCAGTTCCTCGAAGTATTCTGCCCATCTTTTCCTCTGTTCTTGAATCTCCGTGATTGTCTTTCCTTCTTTGTCCTTGACTGGTCTCTCTGGTTTGCTATATCTCCCTGCCAATTTCTTTGTTGTATAATATAGTTGTTTCATATTCCCTTCTCTTGCAGCTTTTTCCGCCGTCGTTGCTAGTTCTCCCATGTATTTCTGCTTGTCGGCTTTAATGCTTTTCTTCACTTGCTTGTTTGCTTCTGCGTAGTCTGCTTGTGCTTTGACTTTCTCTGCTCGTGTTCGGCTGTTGTTAATTGCTAGTTTCTTGTTCTTCCTTTCTTGAAGTTTGTCCACGGTTCCCAGAGAGATCCATTCCTTATGATGATGTTTCTTAGGACCAAGAACCTCCTGACACGTTGAAGTTAGTGCTTCTTTTATCCCTTTCCAGTTGTCCTCCAAAGTAGTTTCTTGTTCTTTCAGTAGATCCTGTACAGCTTGGAACCTGTTGTTGAGAGTTATCTTGAATTCATGGAGCTTGTCAGCATCTCGAAGGAAGGCTGTATTAAACCTTTGTAGTGCTGTTTGTCCAGTTGTCCAGTGTTTCTTTAGCTTCAGTCTCATCTTGGCCACAA